CCATTTTATTGCCAACCGTGGAAACGTAAATCATCAGGAATATCTGCCGACGATTCTATTATTTCCCGAACTTTGCCCTTTCCCCGGTTCCCCCTCCGCAAAGAAAATCTCTTCGAGTACACCGTAGCATAGTTCTTCTTGCCAATCAGTATTCCCGGGCTTCTAATAAAGATGATAAAGTCCATCCTCCGACCGGCGAGCGTACGAATACGTAAAAACGATTGTAAATAACGGAGCGTAAAAGGCCGATGTTGATTTTATGTCTGTTTACGTTTAATACCCTTATCGTTAAGGGAAGTCCTCTCCCTCCCCACTTAGGATCATTAGAGCCGCACGCGATTTTCCCGATTACACGCGTACGCCGCGGAAAACATTAAACTCCATTTCGTCGGTTCATAGTGGATCATCTTTCCGATCGGCGTGCCCGATATATATATATATATCCTTAACGCGACTAGTTTTTGCCGGAACGCTCGAAACGGGAACAGCCAAAATGGCCGCGTCCGGGACATTAATGCGAACCTAATAAACCCGCGGACGAAGTTAAACGGCGTTTCGATGCGTACGAGACATCCGGCCGTCACTCCGCATTCTTTCGTTACCGCCCCGTCGTAAAACGAACGGGGCGCACCAGTCCGCGTACGTCGACGAGGTAATTTCATTACCGAACGATCCTGGAAACGCCGGAAAATTAAATGTTAAATCGACGCGCCGGTTCCGCGAGTGCACGCGATACGACATCGTACAAATTAATCGACGCCGATTAACGCTAAAGGTTCGGACCGCTCTTTTCCCCTCGATCCGAGCCCGGCCAGGTGTGTTCCGCGGGCACGAGGATATCGGTGCGCGACTTCATAAAAGAGTTTATAACGCGGTCGCCGCGGTTTCTTAATTGGAGTCGCGTTTTACGCGTCGCTTTTTTTCCACCCCGCCCGATCCGCGGACGGATAATCGCCGATTCTTTTCCCCAGGTCGGCGAAAAATTAAGCGCTACCGACGTTTAACGCGCGATAACGAGCCGAACGGGGCGGATAGAAGAGGTACGGGGACAAGCGGAATTACAACTGGAATCCTCCGGGCGGTGGCAGTAAATATATTAACTACCTAATCTGTAATCGCGAATTTTACGAGTCGGCCCCGGTCCGCGTCGCCGCGACGGGACAGTATTATAAATTCACGTAAGTAGGCTATAAACTCCAATTATCGTTACCCGCGTTTCCGTGGAAATGATCCGCGTAAAATATTTATTATCCGGCGCGACGGGATTCGGCGACGCGACCGTAAAGCATTCGCGGGCCGCGCGCGCTGCGTTATTTAGACGAACGGCCGTTTAGACGATTCCGCTGGCGCAATTAGAGGACGTCGCTTTTCTCTCTCCTCTGTTCCTCCACGGGTATACCCAGGGCTGTATTTCGCCGCGGAATCTCGTGTGAACGCGTCGCGACTCGTTGATCGGGTGTACGCTCAGATACGAGCCACGATAACCGATACTTTATCGTCGGCACCGTTGCGGGGTGGTCTCCGGGGTTGCGAGTCTCCTCGTCATTCTCGAATGCCTGGTGAACCGTTCCTCTGCGAACGGAACTTGGCTTTGGGAATCTCGAATCGTTCTCTTTAACGCTGGCTTTACATTTATTAGGTTCGTTCTGTCGTCCGTTCGAACGACCGATGTTCGTTCCTGTAGATCCTATAAATTCGAGTATTCGTCCGATCGCGTCACTCAAAATTAACGTTGATATTTATCCAATAGCGCTTTATACATTTCCGTATGCGTCGAATCGACGCGTTACGTAAACCTACTGTTAATCCTTTACGAACGAGGATTTCTTGAAATATTCGAAAGCTTTCCTGTAGGGAGGCAAAGTGTAAATTACATTTTTAAACACTAGTTGAATAGTGTACCGATCTTTTACTGCTTAGACGCTTGGGTAAAGGACTAACGGTGAAACGAAGTATTCCAATTATTTTCTTCGAGCGGTGAAATTTTTCTAATTCCCCCGACGAAATGAATGCAAGCTATTAATTTGCGGGCAGTACGTAAACAGGAGTAACGTCGGTGAAGTTCGAGTTCGTAATATATGCGTTGACTAGTTTCTTACAACTCCGAACGACTTTCAGCCAGTTGAAATTCGAAAAGGAAAAAAAACGAAGTGGTACTCTTGCTTCATCTTTAATCGCCCCAAACGCACACACGTACTCGGCAGCAAACAAATAAAACGAAGTTAATTATGGAGAAATGAATTACACGAAATTTACATTGATTTTTTTCCCGTTCGTAGAATACGATTATATAAATGCAACGCAACAAATCAATAAAACACAGGTCGGTATTAGCCGCGATCCAAAGAAGTATTCGCATTCCCCGTTTCGCGTGTGTACCTACGCAATACTCTTTCGACAACTTTACTGCCTATCTGTTCATCAAATTTCACGACTGCAGAACGAACACTACATTATATCCTTAACGGCGCGGAGCGACGCAAAAGTGTAACAGTACTACAAACGTCTACAAGAGAAAAACCAGCTGAAACATCGGATAACGCAATACCTAGTATCCGAGCGACTGAACGAGCGAGTACGACACGGAATGTATTAATCACATGAAAGTCGAACTTAACCCCTTGCACTCGGAAGTTTGTTCTAAGTATTCATCGTTTTCGCATGAAATATCGATGACACTTTACAAATCGCGCCAAGAGAAGTTATACACGAATTAAACAACACGCCTATTCCACCACAATATCTCATGTATCGGTACATCGTTGCGTTTAACGTCGAATATCAAAGTTCAAGATTTTCCTGCTTCGAACTCAGCCTGAGACGTCCCTCGAGTGCAAAGGATTAAAGTCACCGAGCCGAGTCCGGTGTAATGACGAAAACAAACGGACATCCACGAACGAAAGTCGATACTTTTGCTTCCGCGGATTCGTTACGCGACTTTTCAATCGGCCCGTATACAGGAGAATGAATTCGACGCGCCGTTCCCGGCCTAACAACCTCTTCGGCATCGAAATTCAATTTCCCGGCCGTTCAGCCGAACAACTTCATCAGCCTCAAACTTCAACCCCATCGGCGATGGGAAAAGAACGACGAAAAGAGAGGGACAGAGATAGAGGGTTCTTTATCGGCAAGTTAATCGAGACGAGGGAAAGCCCGGACAGGCTTCGGACGAGGAACGCGAGCCGCAGCCCTTTCGACGCGGCCTCGCACCTTTCTCGCGGACCATGCGGGCAGACCTAACCCGTATTATTATCATCCAGCCTCGCGGTCGCACCTGCGCGTACGCGCGCAGTCCCGTCCCTAGGTTATTTTGTTTGCGCTCTCTCCTTTTTTCGGCAACGGGAGAGAGATCGCTCGCGCCTGCGCCCTGCCCTGGATTTCCAACCCCTACACTATACACTCGTACCGCCGGACCGATCGTAAATCAGAATTTCATTTTCCCTTTTGCTCCGATCCGTTTCGACGGCGGGATTTGCGAGCGACGAAATCGGGGAAACAAAGTGTTCGCCGAAGGATCGACGGTGTTTTGTTGCCGCGATTCGATTGATCGGCGAATCGACAAGGAAATAACGGTTGTAAGATGTTAAATGCATTTCGTCGGTGTCAGTATATGATTGTTAATTCCTCGTTTCTGAGATCGTTCCATATTTATGAAAATTCCGAGCACGAAAGAAGCTCCTCAGACTCGGGGAGTTTTACGCTTAATGCTCGGACGACGGTTCGTATCGCGAGGAAGATGCCGCGTCTTAATTCTTTAATTAAGGCGGTCGAATTTCTGAAATTTTCGGTTTACGAGCCCATTCCCGAATTTCCTGGGTCCTCGGGGGCGACGCAGCGAGCGGGGCGCGTCCGCCGCCGGGGTCGCGGGAATTTTGATCACCTCATAATTAATTTAACCGGGCACTGGGGCGCGCGATAAATCTTCCCGATACCTAGCGAGGGCATCGTTGCCTCGGCTATACGTCCGTACAAAAACCGGCGCGTATAAATTCAAAGACCGCGAAAACCTACCCCGATCCGGGGTAAAAATAGACACGGTTCATTAACGTGGCTATTAAGCGATTTTCACGGGCAAGCGGTCGAAGACTCGCTAAATTAAGAGACGCCGATTGACTCGGCGATTTTCCATTTTCGCCCCCGTGCTGTCTGGAATGGCGAGAAAAGAATGTCCATTGAGTAACGGAAGGGTTGCACAAAAGGCGACTCCGTTACTCGATTGAAACGTCTTCGCGAGAGAGCGACCGCTCGTTTCTCGTTCGAATGAATCATCGAGGTTGACGGAGGCGTGGAGCTCGCGTGCGACGGCCGTCGGTAAACATTTACGCGCACAGGTGTGCGAGTCGATCCGCGGTTCCCCAAAGAAATTTCACTCTCTAACGATCGATCCTCGGGAATGGAAATGTCGAGTCGGAATCGTTCGAGTGTTAATCGCCACCATGAATGTAAGTACAACGAGCAGTGCCAGGTGCGTGGAAAACGAACGATCGCGTAAATCGCACCGAGCGAGCAATTAACGGGACCGTTTGATCGCCGCGGAGCCGAGTAGCTCAGCCTGCTACGTGTAAAAACAGAAATGGAATTTGAACCGTGGACTAGGGAACCGCGGACTAACAAGGTAGCAGGGGCTAATTACCGGCTGCCTAACGCGCGCCGCGCCTCGTTGTCGCGAGAAGAAAGCCTCGGAGCACGGCCGTGTTCCTTGATTAACAATGATCCTGAAATCGCTACCCGGTAAACGACCATCGTTAGGCGAATAATTGAGCCACGATTTTGCAGACAATGGGCACGGAACCGTTAACCGTGCCCGTCTGCCGGTAATTGCCTACCCTGTCGGCTTTTTATCGAACACGCGGCGCCAGGTTCTCCCTGCTCCGATATTTTGGAGCAGGATCGACGAACGAGGGAGCTCTCCGCAGCGTTTCAAGGCGACAGTCTCTGTAGCTACGGTGTTCGATCGAGGAACGAAAGAATAGCCGTGAATAGCGTGGCTCGAGACTCACCTGGGACGCCGACGGATACGAGTACCCGAACTGCGCGTACGCTGACATTTCGGCCGGCTCGACTCGGTCGTCGATGATCAGCAGCAGCAGCAGCAGCAGCAGCAGCAACAGCAGCGGCTAGAGCAGCAGCAGCAGCAGCGGCTAGTTTCTCTGTTTCAATTCTCTCTCTCGCGGCGGGAACAAACAACGAATTAGGTCACCAACCGCACCTGCACGCACTGCACTCTCTCACTGAAAATGTTAGCCAGTACTACTCCTTCAGAGGACGAAGCGACAACGGGGCTTCGAGTGGCGGCGAACGGTCGCGATCTGTCGCCGGGACGGTGACTGCCATCAGGGTGTCTTTGGGTCCTGCCGGAGAGGTCCAAGCGGCGGCCACATGTCTTTCCCCGTGGCTCGTTCAGCGGCGGCGGACGTGCACTGGGGTCCAGCGGTCCGGCGACAACGTCCAGGCGAGTCCAGCGGAAGGCACGAGGAAGCGTGCGGCGACGATGATCATCCGGGAAAACAGGGCATGTCGCGGCGAAGCCGCTAACGGACCGGCACTAACCGTGGAAACTGCTGCTCGACGCCGGATGGTTCTGTTGTCGGGCACGGTACGCGCGCGTCGCGAGCTCAGCTCGGCCGAAGGCTCGGCTCACACGTCACCGCGAGAAAAAGAGAACGGAAAACAGAAGTGCTGCTCTGCGTGTGTGCGCGCCGCGTCGGCCGATTTGGGACGGACATTCGGACAGACGGCGAAGCGTCACGAGCGATTAGTTATAGAGAGTGTTCGTTCGTTCGTTCGGTCCGTCCCCTGCTCTCACAGGGCACTCCAGTCTGCGACTGACTCGCCACCACTCACACCACTTCATCGGCCTTCCACTCCGCTCCGTCCCAGTTCCCCCTCTGGCGGACGAAAACCGAAAGCAGCCTGCTGCCCCCACTCCGGCCGCATGGGACGTGGTTCACGGGAACCGGCGAATCCCGGGGCTCGCTGCTACCCCACGGGCGTGTCACGTGGGATGTGACGCGGACAGCGATTGGCGGCTCGTTTCGCGCGCGGGCGTCCTTTCGAATCGAACGCGCCCACGCGAGCGGGACTACGCCTCTCGCGCCCCTCCACCGGCAAACAACCGTGAAACGATACAACCTCCCTCCTCTGCCGCCGCCGGCCCCTCCCCCGCCTGCCCCCGCCGCCGCCGACAAACGGCCACGGCGGAACAAGGAGAAACGAGTATGTTTACGCGAGTCTACTCTTGTCAACCCGACGGCGAGGGACTTGAATAAATCTGCCGGCCTCTCTCGCGCTCCTCGCCACCTTCCCGCAGCCGCTGCCCATCGCCCCTCCTCGCCGACGCCCTCCGATCCTACTCCTACTACACCACTCGCTCTTCTCGCGCTCTCCGCGACCATCCCTCCCGCTTTCCACCCACTCGTCCACCCTCTCTGTCGTTCTTTATCCGGAGACGAGCCACCTTCTTCCGGCTTATATCGCGCCATTGTCCGGCTCGTGAAATCGCTGGAGTACCAACGACGAGTCGTGCCGCCCGTCTCCACGCATCCCGGGATATAGGAACTTTGTTACGGCTACGTGACACGAACGTGAAAATGTCTGGGTTACAGGGACACCCTTCGCCAGGCCAGACGGCCGCCTTCGCTCGGGGGTTGCTTCTCGAGAACGGGACAATCGTGACCCGCAAACGAGGTCTAGGACTTCTGTGGATCGTTTATGAACGGAAAGTGTTTCGTGTCCGGGTGAATCGTTCGAGCTGTCCGTATCATTCACGCGCGCATCTTTGGGGTGAAAACGTTGCAATACTTCTTCGAGTAACCGCATTCTCATAGAACAGTTCCATGGGACGTTAGATTTTTGTTCTAACCGATCGCTCGTAGACGTCGATCTCTTCCCATCGATTCGATCTTCGAACGTCAGAAGCAGAACGCTGCTCGTGGCCGTTCAACAGGAAAACCTGAGGATCGACGGACGTCGGAAGGATTAGCCACGGGGCTGGCTCGGATGCCGCGCCACTTAGAATAATTTCACGGGTTATTAGGCGGTGGCTGAGTCCGTTCCCGGTCAAGAAGTATTTATCCGGCAAATTAGAGTGTCGGGGGCGAGGGGGATTAGCAGAGGCCGGCGGTGGACGCGGCGTGCGCGTCTCATCGTAAATACCGCAATAATAGCGTTCGGTCGAGCGGCTTCGTTCCCCGGAGCGGCCGGCGCAAATGGTTGCGTTTTCTTGGCATCATGCTTGGTCGGCCATGTGTCTTATTCGTGTCAATGCGGCCCCGCGTGGCGGACGATTTTCCGCGACGTTGCCCCGAGCAATTTGCAAACGTAATACACGTACGCGGAATTAGACGGTACGCGTGAAACGTTCCGACAGGTCTCTCTCTCGCGCGTCGCAAATTGAATCGGCCGACCATCTCGCGCGCGGGAAACGCTCCGCGGACTAGAAAGATACGAAAGATCTCCCGGCCGAACAAATTCCGGAAGCGTTCGCCGACGTCCGAGCTGGAAACGGCAGACCCCTGGCACCTCGGAGGGGGTTGGGGCGCGGAAGACGCGCGAGCAACGACTCGAGAGGATAGAGAAACTGGAAAAATAGTGGTTGCGTCGCAACGCGAAGATTCACTGCCGCTAATAGGATTAGCTGACAGGTCGACGAGGTCCTTGGGAGATAAGGATCCTACCGAGGACCTTGTACCTGACCCAGGGACCGACTCGGAGGGGGACGAAAGAGCGGCCGGGGCCCTTCGGATGATTTATTGGCCCGCGTAAACCTGGTGACCTGCCGATCACGCCCCCTCGACGAACAGTCGCCGACATAATGCGCGCGTTTTCAGAAAACTGCGATCCGTCTCGTGCCACGACTCCCTTTCGAGGAGTCAGGGCGACCCGTCGAAACCGCACAATAACCCGTTTAATCCCGCTCCTCCTCCGTCCAAGGAATGAATCGCTCGCGCGTTCACCTTTGTTTACCGTCCAACCGCAAAAGGGTGGCTCCGCTGTTCGACGTCTTGTTTGCGCGGCAAATATTTTGCCGGCGGCGTCGGGAGGCGAGGAGATTTCGGTCGGCCGCGGTTTTCGTGCGACGAGAACCTGTCCGAAACGTTGCACCCGACGCAACGGGGACGGGAATCTCGAACGAGGTCGCATGCCGAAGTAAATTGTGCGCGACGGTACGCTACGGCGGAAGACCGATCGCTTCGCGAATTAGAAAGAACTGGTAAGCGTGTAAGGAGACCGACGTGGCCGGTGTTATTTCGTAAACTCGCGGGAGCGCGAGCTTCGTGGTCAGGAAAGCGTAACAAAGCTCGTTCCCGTTGTTACAAGAAATTCTAGGCGATCCATTAATCAACGTTTCGCTTATTATTCCATGCAAATCGAGTTTTCACCACCCGGTTACAGGCCTCTTAGCGACCGGATTCTTGTCACAGCTAATTTAACATTTTCGGAGTCGTTTATACTAAACGCTCGCCGTTTCATGACTCATAAAAAACGGTAATCGGTATATCGGCCCGTGAAATCGTGCGAGGCTCGCCGCTGGCGGAGCGTCCGCCGTTTACATGGAAGAGCGCGGGCCGCGGCGCGGAAGACGTCGTGAAAATCTCCAATTACAACGTGGAATTCCAATGGAGTGTGTTCGACACTAGAAAATTTCATTCGGGTAACATTCGCATGCACGAAGCGGCGGTAGCAATCATCCTGAAATGGTTACCGATGCCGAGGCGCAGTCAAGTTCAAGTTCTCCGAAAGAGTACCGTGCACCGGCGAGGAGCTCCTGTTAAGTAACGCTTAAATATCCCGGTGCGTAGTTAACGCCGTTTAAAGACGCATTGTAAATCTCGCGGGGAGTATCTAGAGGCCAGTTGCAGCGTCGTTTCGTGTTTACAGCCGTCAAGTTTTTCAACTCTGATAAGGACGAAGGTCCGTAGCGGAGCGGACCGAGGGCCCGGCTACCTTGCCGAGTGTCCTATCTGCCCGGGCAGTGTGTCCACTACTTGTTTGCAGGTCGAGTAAAAGTTAAACGGCCGTGTCGGGCCGGGCTGTCTCTAGCGATAAGACTGCTTAATAAGGCAGCAAACCATCCACCTACCTCACTACTCGTTCATCTCATCCGTCCCTCCTTGACCGTTCCCTCTTTGTTTCACCCTCGACCCAGTTAGGTAAGGTCTCCTCCGCCGCCTCCCTTATCTCTCCTCCCGCTGCCAGGTTCTTGTAATTCGTTACTCTCTCTCGACTACGGGGACGTTCGGGCTCTCGCCTAACGAGGGAAAGATTTCAACTACCTAATTCGAGGCGAAACAAGGAAATCGAGAGACACGGGGCACCGTCTCGTGGCTCGTAAACTCTCCCGCCAACACGGAATTACGAGCTTATCGGTCTTATTCCCAGGGAGGCGGACGGTCGAGGAACTGTTCCAACATTTTTTCAGCTAAGAACGAGACGTTCGTTCGATTTCAGTTGAGCGTTCGAGCCTGGCTGGTCCTGCTCGACCTGCGATTCGAAGCTAGACGACGTCAAGGTTGCTGGACCGGCGAGACGTTCGTTCCGGCAGCGTATCGCTGACTTCCCCGGCCGGAATCACAAAGGCAGGTCTAATCTGGACGGCGTAAAACGGTGCGATATTCACACCGTAGGATAAAACAAAAGGTTGTTGCGGGGACCTGAGGTAGACGGTAAAAGTCGCTAGAGGGGAGCTAATAAGGGAGGTCCAGACTGCCGTGGCGCCTTCGGTGCACCTTCGAGGGGCACTGCAGTTTTATTGGCTGGGGTGTCCTTGTTCTTCGTCCGCTTCTTCTTCTTCTTCTTCTGCTTCTTCTTCTTCTTCTTCTTCTTCTCCTTCTTCTTCTCCTCTTCTCCTTCAGCTCTCCTCTGCGGCAACTTCGTCTTCCTCCTCGGCGCTCGGTATGGCTGACCAGTATGTTGCCGTAAAAAAGCCGGTCTCCCCTTGTCTGTCCTCCTCCTCACCTTCCCCGTCCTCTCTCTTATACGGTGGAACGACGAACGAACGAACGACCAACGAAATGTCAACCGTAAACCTCGCGAGGCAACACTAATTAACCCGACCGAAATAAACTGCGCCGCTCAGCGGCGCTCTCATGCCTTCTTCATTCACCCCGACCCTCGCCTCTCGCCCCTGTTCCCGCCGGCCCTCAGCCAGACTTTACTGCGCGGCGAGCGCGTAGCCTCCGAAAGAATCCTGGACTGAAACGGTTTCGAGTCGTTCGCCATCGTTCGTTCCGTGCTTAGAATTCGAAACGAAGAATTTTAGGCGACCTGTTTTTTGGCCCGGCACAGAGCCGCGGCCGCGGCGCCGCCGGAAGCTGCGCCGCTCGAACACGGGGCCGTCCCTCTTGTACACGATACCCGAACTTTCATTAAGGACGTAACGATTCCCTTGTCGGGATCGCCGAACGAGCCGGATCGTTCGCTTCGATTGTCGATAGTATGCGCACGGAATTCAGAGGGAATCGCTGATGACTTTCCAATTACACGACTCGAAGGATCGGCCGAGAAATCCCCGGGACATTTCTTCCGACGAAGAGATTCATAGAGTCGGACCATTCGGCGTCGATGATAAAATGATACACTTTGCGGTGCTATTAAGCGAATACCATCGGAGCCGCGCATATTTCAAACGCTTCGGATTTCGGTTAAGGGTTCCGTCGACGCGTTTCCCAGCCGGAAAGGAGCGGGACCCCACGCGGCAAATAAATCGAGGGCTTTTTCCCGGCGCAGGAGCGAGCATTCCCGCCGAAAAGAGCTCCCGCTCTCTCGCTCCCGTCGATCTCGGCCGGAACAGCGTCGAAACCGCGGGGTTTCGC